GCTGCCGCTGCCGTCTGTGCCGCCACTTTCACCCATCGCGGCACTCACAGCGCTGTTCGATGGAAGCAGAGAAGACTCAGGTGTACCGCTGGCTGGAGAGGATGTCTCCCCAGTGTGTTCATCAGATGTTGTGGTGGCTTCAGTGGGTTCGGTTGAAGAAAGACCATTAGGCACGTCGACTGCCTCTGAATCACCGGCTGGCGGGGCTTGTGCATCGGCTGCGTTGGGTGCATCTGCAGGGGGAAGTGTTAGAGTGTTGTCATTTTTTCCTGCCGGTGCTTGAGAAGCAGCTGTAACGGGAGTATTGTTAGGTACTTCCACTTCTTTCTTATCTTTTGATACACCTTGATGTTGTCTTGAAGCATGTCCATCATTTATAAAATCAGGAGCATCACCTTCGCTTTTTTCCTGATTCACTGCGACGCTGGGACGTTCCTCGATGTCTTTCCGATCTTGCTGCAGTGGTAAGTCACTGCCTCCCTGAGAAGCAAATGATGAAGCACCTCCTTTTGCTTTCTGTTTGGCAACTTCATCAGCAGCCGTTACTGCGTTATTTACAGCATCCGGTATTTGTTCGAAAGCTTTAGCCGCTTCCTTCGCGTTCATAAATGCAGTTTTCGCTTTATTTTCTGCTGCTTTAGCTTTATCCAGCGCCTTCGTGGCGTGTTGCGCTGCAGCATGAGCGTACTCCTTTACTTTCTCTTTATTTCTCACTGAATTCACGCCATCTTTATTTTGATCTCCAACCTTCTTTATCTCACCAGCTTCATGCGCTGCCTGCTTGGCCTGCTCACCTGCAGCTTTTGCGCTCTCCTGAGCGTCCGTTGCGTCACTGGAAGAAGAAGCTGCATTGCTGGCCGCGTCAGCAAATCCAGCCTGACTCGTTTTTACGAGTTCCAATAACGCTTTTACTTGCGGTGGGACTGAACCTTCCGACAACCGAATTGCCTCCTCAACTTTCTCCGTGATCATCTGCACCATCCCAGACGCTGCCTGCGCTGCATTCTTTGCCAATTGTGATGATCCTGCCGCCTCCGTAAGGCGTTTCATTGCCGTCACGGATGTTGTCATGGCTTTCTGAGCTTTTTCTTGGACTCCACCAGCCTTATTATGATCAACGTCAGGTTCAACATCCTTTTCCAGGCCATCAGCATCACTTTGCGCAGTCGTCACGAGACTTAGTGCATCTGCGGCATCACGGTCAGCACCCTCAGCCTTCGTGAGAGCCTCATTCGCAGATTCCTTTATATTATCAATATACTGCTTAACATCAGAAAGAGTTGCTTTCGCTTTGTTCATTTTTCCACTTGCTGCCCCAACAGCCGGCACAATCCCGCACAGCAGCAGGAGGGCAACACCGAACAGCACGTGGCGCACCGCCAGCATGATACTGCAGTCAGAGTCGCTTCGACG